TCACCCCCCTGCTTGTTTTTTTCAATTTTTTTGACATGGGTGCTGGCAGATTAGGGCCTCCCATGCTGCTGCCGGGCCCCCAAATTTCCCCAGGGGCCCCCTATATACCGCCTCCTCTGCTGCTCCCAAGTCCAGAGTTTCATGGGTCCTTTCGGCCCTCCCAGCTGCTGTCCCCATCGCCCCTCTGCCATGTGCCAATTCGGTCTTTAAACCCTGCTTGTGTTTTCAATTTTTGGGAATGGGGTGTGGCAGTTACAGGCCCATAGCTGCTGCCGGCCCTAATTGCCTGGGCCCCTATAACGCCTCCTCTGCTGTCCCAAGTCCGAGTCTTCATGGGTCCCTGTACGGCCCTCCCATTGCTGCTGTCTCCATCGCCACACTCTGCCATGTGCACTTTTCAGTCTCTTCCCCATGCTTGTGTTTTAAATTTTTTGACATGGGGGTGCTGGCAGATTACGGGCTCCCCATACTGCTGCCAGGCCCTAATCTCCCAGGGGGCCCCTATATACCCCCTCCTCATGCTGCTCCCAAGTCCAGAGTCTTATGGGCCCCTGTACGGGCCTCCCATAGCCTGTCTCGCCAGGCCCGTAATCTGCCATGGGCCCCCTGTACCGACACCTCATGGCTGCTAGCCTAGGCCCGGGGGGTTGTGGGTGGGGGTGGTAATCTTCCATGGGCCCCCTGTACCGGCCCGCTAATCCCCCCTCCGTCCTCGAAGCATAGCTGCCAGGTCCAGAGTGTGTCCAAGGTCCCTGTCCGGCCAGTCCCAGGAGTAGCTGCTGTCTCTAGTCGCCACACACCTGCGGTGTGGCCACTTTTCAGGTCATGCCTCACGACGTGCAGTGAACGTTGCCGTTTCCATGTAGACTAGTGGGTGACCGAGGAAGGTGCATGAAGTCATTGGCTTGGTGCCCGCGGGCCCATGTTGGGGTGACAGCGTTGCGTCAGCATTACCCAGCGTTCGCGGGGGGGGTGGGGGGGGGGATAATCACGGGGGGTGAAAGGGGACGGCGGTGGGGCCTGCCCAGCCAGGGTTCATGGGTTGGGGAGGGTTGGGGGGGCTGGTGCCATGATTGTTTGTTTCGCCATGGTGGCTGCCAGAGCCCACCAATTCGGGGTGGGGTGGACCCCCGGTACCGCCGGTCCACAGTGCTGTTGGCTCCACAACTCTGGATTTTGGCCCCCGGTGACTGCATGTCATACTGAGTGACAGTATTATTTCTCTTCCCCAGCAGACTCCAAGGGCATTTAAATTAAAGGTACAGTGTTTCTGCACTAATATTAAGTCTCTCTGAAGCCTAGAAAACCCTTTTTTAAGTTAAATTCACAGCGAATTTATTCGACTCGAATCGAATATTGTCCACGAATTCGCCGAATCAGTCGAATCGAATTTTTCATTTCTTCGCTCATCTCTAATGGTAAACATCTAACAGTTAGCAGGGTAGTATCCAATAAGAGAATAATACACAAATACACACACACCAAGAAAATATAGAAAATATAGAAAAAAAAAGAGTAAATATGTAATCAAACATTATTGGACAAGACCCCCATGCAAAGCAATTATATCTTAAAATGAACATAGCAACTTTAATGCTAAACTGAAAAGTGGAGCCTTTACCTTTTGCCTCTTGCACAATAAGATGTGTGGACTCATTCATCTTCAGCTGTCCTGTATACTGTCCTCCATGTAAAGAGGTCAGCCTCTGAACCTCTTTCCTATCCAGACTGCTTAACCCAGTTACACATATGGTGCAACCAAGGAAAATTGGACATAAATATGGCTCCAAGTCTATATAATCTTTGTAGCTAATTATCCTACAAATAAATAGGTGAAAAATAAATATGAGCAGGATGTAATTAACAATAGATCTGAAATAATACAGCATGACCTTAATATGTACCTCTGCTGTGACTTATCCCACAGGGCCTTCACCCATGTAGGGAAAAGAATGGGTTTCTTAAGACTGGCTGCCACAAGGTATTTCTTGCTGCCCACTTCACCAGCAATCAGATGGCTGACTGAAACATTAAGATCTCGGTAGACACATCCACCCCATTATCTGAACATAGAAATGAACCTCTTCCTGGAAATAACAAAACAATTTTAATGCATACTCTTGTAAGACCGCTTGAAAAATCTAACGCAAGAAATGATTGTGCTAGAACACTTTTAAAAGAAAAAAAAAAAAAAAAAAACACCTTACCCTGGTTTCTTTATCAAGGCTTGTGCACGAAACTGTGACATCTGCCATTGCCATATTGAAGACAGGATGCTCTGCTCGTGGAACACATCTCTGATGCTTCATGCAGAATATTACAACCTGGGGTCCAACAATTCTACAACCGAGCTGAAAACAAAAGGAATCATAAAACAAACCAGCACAGTGCAAAATCAGCTGTGAATAGCTATTCATGTTACAGACTCAACATAAAACCACTTTACCATGTTGTGGTTGGGATTCTACGGTAAGAAGCATACAATTATTTATACTAAGAAAAACAGATGAATATGACACTACATAGAACATAGTCAGCCTTTCTAAACCTTTTCAACACCAAGAAACCCTTGAAATAACTTTCCAGTCTCAGGGAACCCCTTCTAAAAATGACTATATCTACAACTCATGATACATTAGTGTGATAGTCATTGGGAAGAATGCTCCTTACACTTGTGGTCACTTACAGATAGCTAAAAGATCCATGGTGTTAGTGGGAACTTATCCGAGAGGCAGAAATTGCTCAAGGAAAATATACAAAATACACTGATCAACACTGTTGGCTATAGACGGCGGCAAGAATTGAGTACAAATTTTTCAACAAGCTGGTTGTACAGCAGTACTTGACAAATAGATCTGCCAGAACCTGTAAAGCTTGCTCGATAGTAACACACTGGCAGGCCACTGCTTTGAGTCCAATGAGGGGGGACAGAGAGGGCAATGCTGCTCCTCCCGGGCACAGCGCTGGATTAAGTTCAGAGTCAGGTAAGAATTTAGGGGGTCTGGGGTGAGCTGCGCATAAAAGGTTTTTATACCTTAATGAAGAGATCTTGTAGATCAAATTAATGTGTTTGTCAGCGGATTCTGGGTCACAGAAGCGCACAGTATGCTGAAGTTCACTGTCTGTTGATGTTACAGAGCCACTCCAGGTTTGGGAAAGATCCTCACCATATTGTCAGAATCCACCCAGATGCTTGATTGGCTGCTGGCTCAGCCACAGCGCACATCTAAGAGCCGAAGCCAGCTGCTCCCAACCCCTCCTCAGCCAGATGCTCCAGTGAGTGCTGGCAGGGCAGAGCAGAGAGCTCAGAGCTGACCAAGAACTGAGAGATTAGTGGTCATGTGATCGCTCCATTCTTGGACTTCAAGCTGGCAGGGGGCAGCTGCAGCAACAGACCGATGCTGCAGCATTGGAAAGTATGTTTATGTATTTTTTTTTAACAATCCAAAAACTCCTTTAAGGATTGAACATCATCGACAGATTAAATTCTAGAATCTTTCATTATAAACTTAACAAATACAATATTATTTTTTTTTTAAATCACATACTTATACAATATGCAATAATACAAACCTTTTTTAGATGGTTAAAGGCAGCACCACTGAAAGGATCACATACATAGAGAGATTTGTCTTTTTCTTTTAAAGCGAGGGCCTCCTTTTCCTCAATTAACAGTAGATATTCATCTGACTGAAATGCCTTGATTTCCTGTAAAGTAAAAAAAATTTAAATATGTGCAGATACACAAACAACTTACTTGCCAAACACCAGAAAGGGAGAAAAGGATTTCAATGCTCAAGTAAAACATTCTTTTATGTCTATAAGAAAAAAAAAAAAAAAAAAAAAAAGCTAAAAAGGTGTGCTAGCTATACTGGTCTCAAAACCTCCACATGGGATCACTAAAGACAAAAGAGAAGGGGGGGAAAAAAAAAGTCTTGTTCTTTCTGCCTAAAAAGTTGTGCAACATTGCAGCTGTGAACGGCTTGGAACAATGTGCTCCTCTGTAAAATTTAAGTAATCTTCCAAGTTACAATAATAAAAAAAAATTACACCCCAAAATACATTCTGCTACTGCTTCCGGAGTATGGGGATACCACATGTCAGACTTTTTGGGAGCCTAGCCACATACCAGGAGCCTGAAATCTAATGACCATTTTTAAAGACTGAAGGTGCGCAACTTCCCCATTTCACTTCCTCACTACGTATCACAGTTACGGAGGCCCTAAAATGCCAGGATAGCACCAACCCCCCCTCCTCCCCAAATGACCTATTTTTGGAAAGCAGACACCCCAAGAAATTTAAAAAGAGGCTAGGTGAGTATTTTGCAGATTCTCATTTTTTTCACAAGGTTTTAAAATATAAAAAAAAGAAAAGAAAAAATATGTTTTTGTTTTCTTTCCTCATATTCCAAAAACTTGTGGCAACAAACGAGATCTGCAAAATAGTCACAATGCTTCTTATCAAATTCCTTGGGGTGTCTACTTTCCAAAAAGGGGTCATTTGGGGGGGGGGGGGATTGGTGCTATCTTGGCATTTCAGGGCCTCCGAATCTGTGATAGGTAGTCAGGAAGTGAAATAAGGAAGTTGCACACCTTCAGGCTTTCAAAGTGGTGTAGCGAATAAAATGCTGGATGCTGCTATTTTTTATGTCACATAGTACTCGCAGAGCGATTTTTCAAAAGCAGTTTTTTTTTTTTTAAAAATACACTTTTATTTTAATGCGCAAAAACACAATATATTTGGCCAATTATTTGGTAACTTATAAAAGATGATGCTATGCTGAGTAAATAGATACCAACCATGACATGCTTTAAAACTACGCATACCCCGTGCAATGGCAACAAACTGCATACATTTTTAATATCCATAGGCAATGCTTTAAAAAGCCTTTACAAGCTACCATTTTAGATTTACAGAGGAAGTCTAGTGCTAGAATTACTGCCCTTGATCGGACATTCGCAGCGATACCTCACATGCATGGTGTAGCGGCTATTTACATACTGGCATGGGGTCAACACTCGTGTGTGCAGGGGGGCGAGGGTACTTTTTTTTTTAAGTTATTTTGATTTAATTTTTTAATTATTTTTACACTGTCCCTTTTTTTTTTTTTTTAAATCACTTTTAAATCACAGGGAATTCAAATATCCCCTATAACTTCAATGGGCATTGTCATATTCTTTTTTGAGAAATCTGGGGTCTATCAGACTCAAAATATCCCCTTTGCCCTTACATTATCTAATCTCACCAAAATCGGTGTGATCAGATGCTTTCCCAATTTTCAAATGGTGCTGTTTATATCCTGCGAAACTGAAGTGATTAAATGCTCGTAGCTTCCGATTTCTTAAGATTATATGTGAAATGTGCCAACAAATATTATAAAATATATATGCCGAAGCATAGGGGCCATCCACCCACTGGTCACCCCCCAAGCCCCCATGCTACGGCATAGATGCTCTTTTTTTAACTGCGGATGAAAAATCTCATCTAACAGCGCTGCCCACACTGACTTATGCATATTCTGAGAGCAAGACCCTGTTGCTGTCAGAATAAACAGGTCAGTGCTGCAGCTGAAAGCATTCCTGCAAAGAAAACAGCAATGGTTAACATTGAAACAGTAACAATAAAAGTGTAACAGTATTACAATAACAACAACAAAAAACTAACTATTTTTGGTTTTTAAAAGGTTTTATTTTTTGGGGGATTCGTACTTTTTTTTTTTTTTTTTTTTTAAGCTTTAACCTTTTAAAACAGATTGTAGGGTCTCTCCAAATGTGATAGCTAGTTTCCTGACTACCTAACATTTTTCGAGACCTTGTGTAATTATGTATCCTGAACTGGGCCGTGCTGTTCCCTATACTAATACTCCACTAGTGTGTGATAGCAATGGAGGCAGTCCTTGAGGCAGAGAACAGATTGGCCAGGACAGAAAGAACAAAAAAAAGCAGGTATCATACCTCATTCCATGTCTGCTACACACACATATTTTTTGAGGTGCCTTTTGGGTTGGGTACCAGGAATGGCATCGGGAAAATGACTCTCATGCAGCCAGCTAACTGCATCTGGGTTGGGGCATAGCACCTTCTGGATGCAAAAGGGCCATGATGATCTCTTCCTGGAATTTAGGAAGTATCCACTTCGTCCAGTTGCTTTGTAAAGCACAAAAGCGTTATATAGAGCCAATTGAAAAAAAATACTTTTTTTGTACCAGTGTCTGGCTTTCAGGGAAACTAAATAAGGCTTCATCATCTGGTCGTTGAAGTCCACCCCTCCCATGTTAAGGTTATAGTCGAGAACACAGAGGGGCTTCTCAACACCAGCTGCCGTGGTAATGTGGATGGTCGTATCTGTGTGAATGGAAGACAAGACGAAAACATCCAGTTTGTCCTTCCACTTCACTGCGAGCAATTCCTCATTTCTCAAGCAGGCTTTTTCCCCCTAAGACAGGTATTTACAAGCTGTTGGGGGAAGCCCCAACGATTAGGTCGTACAGTGCCACATGCGCCAATTCCAAGATTGTACAAACGTCTAAAAAATGGCACACTTGAATAAAAATTGTCTACATATAAGTGGTACTCCACATGGAAAAAGGATGACACCAAGTCCCAAACTATCTTGCCACTGTTCCGCATGTAGTCTGGGCATCCGAGGGACTACATGTGACTATCTTTTACCTCGTAAATCCAAAACTTATATGTATATCCTGTTGACCTCTCACAGGTCTTATACATCTTGACCCCATATCTGCCACACTTGCTGGGGAGAAATTGTTTTAATGCAAGACGGCCAGAAAAACTAATCAGGGACTCATCAACGCAGATGTTTTGCTGGGGAGTATAGACATCTGCAAATTTTTGGTTAAAGTGATTTACGAGTGGCTGAATTTTGTGGAGCCAGTCAAATTCAGGGTCACTCCAAGGACGACAGAGTGTGTTGTCATTGAAATGCATAAAACGCATTATATTCTCATATCTATTTCTGGCCATGGCAGCAGAGAACACGCGCATATGATGAATCGGGTCTGTGGACCAATACAACTGCAATTAATTTTTTTTTTTTTTTGCGGTTGTATTGCCCATGTTGAGGGTTAGGCCCAAAAAAAAAAAAAAAAACCTTTAAATTTGGAAACCGTAATGGTGTTTCCATGCGAATGGTCTGGCAAGGTTTCAATCTGGGTTGGCGGTGATAAAATGTTGTGCATATAAATTGCTTTGATCCACAACCAATGCATACAGATATTCTGTGATAAACAGCTCCAAAAAATCAAGGGGAGTATTTCAATTTGCTGTTTCCACCTGAATTCCGGGTTTAGCAATGAAGTATGGGTGCTGCAGAATGTGTGGGTTGCCAATCGGGATCTGCAAGCACGTCTGGAAGGACACTATTCCTTTATTGCACAAACTGCTTGTTGTCATGCTCTCTGTAATCCTCTCTTGCATATGCTGCTCACTCTACCTTCCATATTTCTTTCCAAGACACTCTTTTTATTAGCATGGTTTGAAAAATCTGCAACTTTGCCTATTCTGGAAAGCATATTAAAAGAAAAAAAGCGCCAAAAAGTATAAAGCTCATGACTGTTCTGAATGAAAAAATGTAGGTACTTCCTAATAGTGCCAAAGCACTGAATAACAAAATTTCCATTCTGTCGCCTTTGCATTAATATTGACGGGTGGAAGTGCCAAGCTTCAACACTACCTGGGCGTGTCGGAACTCTCCCTATCAGAGTGGTTGAGGATTTAGTCATAAAGGTAAGGCATTATTGACTGTTGCATAAGTGCGGGCACTAGGTACTTGCAGTTCATACAGCTTGTTTTATTAAATTGCAGGGTCTCTTTAAGCTGTGTAGTATATGTGTATTTGTCATTTTACACAGCTTACCTATATTTCACATGTTTCAGTACTTCTTACCTCATGTGCTTCGTAGAAGAACTTCGTATTGTCAGATGAATTGACAAATTTCACATAAAAGGGCTCATTATCACTTTTTGCCATAATAAACTAATAAAATAAAGGTACATAAAAGGAAAGAAGATAACTGATATGATAGTATACAAAAAATAGATATTCTTCATACCTGCACAAACAAATACAAAGTACAGTACATGGAAGCTGGTATTTAGAAAAAAAAAATACCATTGTTTACAAAGGTTTTATTGTTTTTTTTGTTTTGGGTTTTTTTAATTCTCACACATTTCTGTGCAATATATCTGAATATCTGTGCATATCTTGCATATAAACAGACACATTTTCATGAACCCCCTCACACGCATAATACAACAGGTGTCTGCCAGTCCATAGGACCTGGCAGAGATGTGCAAAGTGTCTGCACATGTGCCAGGGTTTCATGAGATTTTGGCCATGCTCAGACACACTGTGGGTCTCTGCCAGGTCCCATAGACACATGACTGTGCATGCGTGAGATAACAGTCCAAGATGGGGGTGAGAGAGCAGAGCGATGAAGAACAACTTTTGCCTTGAAGGAGGAAAGCTGGACTTCAAGGACTTGTAAGTCTGTATTTTTTATTTACATACAGGAACAATTATCAGGAACTAGAAATAACATTTTGACAGGCAGGTTGCAGTTCTTTCTTAGACTTCCAAAAGGTTGGCCAAGCACTCTGCACTGTCTACAGATGCAATAAGTCACTCTAAAGCAGGGGTGCCCAGCCTGTGGCCCTCAGAGCCCTCAACCTCAAACTGAATGCAGGAGTTTTGGTGCATCAAAAAGTGCACTACACTGGCAAGATATAATAGAAGTCTATGGCAAAGTGCTACTAAATTGCAGGAAAGCCACAGGTGCACTGTGCTGCACCCGCGGTACAGTTAAATCGATGTACATCAGTGTGAAAGCAGCCTTACAGGGGGCTCATGGCAGTAAGCCCCCCTCCCCAAATACTGGACCCCAGCCCATGCAGCCTCCTTGTCACATTGTTTTTTTTTTTTTTTTTTACGGGGGGGGGCCATATACAGGAACTGATCCTCTCTATTTTCCTCGTGCAACCGCGGGGAAGCTAGCTTCTCCTCCCCTCCCTATCACCAGTGATCAGCGACCGCAGGAGGAAAATGTTCATTATGCTATTCAAAATGTAAAAAAAAAATTCTGAACGGTTTCATTTCATTGTAGCCCATAGCCAGTTGTCAAATCACTTAAGTAGCCCTCGCTCTTCAGAAGGTTAAGCACTCCTGCTCTAAGATGCCAATTAAAATAAATTAGCAATTAATGCTAACTTCAGCCATGCCAATACTGAAAAACACACATTTATAGCACAACAGTATACCTACATCTTTGCAGCAGGGAAGACCCTGTCATTCATCTGCACATTGAAAGAATGCACTGCATTGTGGCACAATAAGGATACTAGTTCTGTGAATGAGGGAGGGGGCAGGAACAGGTGATTAATGCAAGCCCTTCATACTTGTAGTCACTGCTAACCCCTGCAGCAAGGGAAGATTGCTGCACTGGGCAGTAACTGGCGGCATGAAAAAAAGATTTTACATGAAGCAGCAGACTGCAAAACAAAAACAAAAACAATACTCATACACCAAAAAAAAAAAAAAAAACAAAGTGTTAGCTGCTGCAAGTGTTCTCTAAGGCTACTTTCACACTAGTTTTGTCAGCAGGCGTCAGACAGCCCTTTGAGAAGCATTTTGAACACTTCTCAAAGGCCTATGAAAATTCTGCACAGTGCTGTTCACACCGGGGTGGATTTGATTTAAATCAAACTGATTTAAATCACGATTTAAGTCACTAGTCAGTAAGGCTTGATTTAAATCCTAGTTTTCTACATAAAGACTAATTCTTGCTGGTATAACTTTAATATGCAAGTAGATGAAGATTTTTAGAATAACTTTTCATATTAGTTTTTTTTTATCCCCAGTTTAATAGGTTAATCATTCATATTTGGACAACTTTTCTGTTGTACTTAGGAAGGAGAACAATATTCATTACCTTAATAATAACAATTTAAATCGATTTATTCAACTGAAACAATAACATTCCAGCATATGGTATTTGCTTAAACATCCATGTTTGTTAACTAATTTGGCTAAACAAAATATATATATTTTAAGAAACTTAGACTGTCAGCCCTTCCTCCTCACACTTAGTTTCACTTTCTTCCTGTGCAGATCTATTCCACTCCAAACAATCAGAAAAATATTGTTTCTATTCTATTCACTGAACTTCTTGAAATTTAGCACTGAAGGGTTGATTCTGTATTCATAGGTTTGTAGAAGTTAGGATGAAGGTCTTTTTCTTAACTCTGTTCATGTTATAACATTTTTGCTGTGAAGAAGAGGCATGTGATCTCCGCTGAGTCAAATTCAGTTTTGAGAACTGCAAAAGTAAACCAAGCATCTGTGATAATATCTTGTAGGCAGAGAAACTGCCCGAATAATCTTACAAAAACCTCTGGAAGAGCATGACATTGTGAATGGATTCATGGAATTTATTTACCAAAAAAATTAAAACATATACAGCCTTATTCTACATAATTAAACAAATCTTTATTTCATGATGGAATAACCTTTGGATGGTAATATATTTTCCTCAAAAAGCATTTTATTTAAAAAAAATCTGATTTAAAATAAAAAAAATCAGATTTAAATTAAAAAAATCTGATTTTTTTGATTTTTTTTTTAAAAATCATTGATTTTTATCCACCCTGGTTCACACTGAAGCGTTCAAATCACGTCATGGCAAAACTGACACCTCACGTGGAGTCAGGAGGAGTTGAAGCCTCCCATTCAAGTCTATTGTGACGCTTCTCAAACGCCTGGCGGAGCGTTAATACCATTAAACTTCATTATAGGCATTTGTGGTGTGGTTTTAATGCTCTGTACATGCCTCAAAAACGCACATAGGGCATTTGGGGAGGGTTAAAAACACTTCCCAAATGCTAAAGGGGCATTTGGCAGGAGTTAGAAATAAAGTCAAGTATGAACGTAGCCTTAGAGTGAGGCAGCCCAGGTAAGTGTTCACAGAAATCAGTCACAAGGATCAGAGAGGCTCACATTGCCAGTTTCTACATCTGTAAATGCAAGCTGCCTGGCTGTCATGCCAACCCTTTTGCTTCAAAGCCTTGAATGACTAACAACAAGAACACGAGATATGACGACTTTCCTGATCTGTACACTTGTTCTGAGTCAGAGACTTAAAGATGAACTCCGGGAATAACTTCTATTGCATAGTTATGTTGGTCCAGCTTGGCCCAATGCACGTCTCATACCTGAGGGACTACTACAATGACTGCCGGGCCCCATGCAAAGCGGCATTCCAACGGCACACATGGGGCCACTCCATACTGCCACCATTCACAGAACGCTTTTCTTTTTTAATCTCTTGGCGCCAGCCAAAATCAAATGTGCAACCTCCAAACGTCTGGGCCTAGACGCCGAGCAGCCGCACATTTGCGTTCTATTAAAAAAAAAAAACGTGCTGAGAGTGCGTACCCCGAGCGCTCACAGCACACACATTCTATACTCACAGAAAAGTCCCGATCTCCTCTTTCGATCGGGACCTTTCCCTATCATGTGACCGCCATGACAGCAAATCATGGTGGTAACATGACCCTAAAACGCCGCCCTGCCTCCCGGCTTCTGGAACCCCTAAAGGGCAAGGAGGCACCAGCGCCAAGATGTTAAAAAATGAGTACAAGGCATTCTCTTGATTTGATGAGGTGGAGAAGCGAGGAATCATCCAGAGAACACCTTGCATTCATTGAAAAATACAAGGCATTTTGTGAATGGCAATAGGGTGGCATGAATGACCCCATGTGGTCAGAGCGCAAGCCATTTGGCACAGGATCTGAAAGATGGCGGCTACCCCTGTACTAGCACCAACTACCACAGCCATTGTCAGCGTCCCCACCAGGGTCGGACTGACAACTCATGGAGCCCCCGGGCAATAGGGGATCATGGGGCCCCCGTGACCTTGCCCAAACTCAAAAAAAGCCTATGAAAGAGTTACCAGGGGCATCTCATGGGGCCCCCTACTGACCCCGGGCCCTCGGGCAGTGCCCGAGTTCCCAAATGGTCAGTCCGCCCCTGGTCCCCATCAAACTCCCCCCCCAGGTATGAGATAGCCATACCTCCATTGTGCCAACCTGGGCCAATGCACCTATTCAATACAGACCACACCTGGCGTTCCGCATGACTTTCTGGGATACGTTCTTTAAACCTGAGCAGCCAGTCAGTAAGCATTTCCACAAAAGGTCAATAATGTCCCCTCCAATATATCCCTCATGAGGTACACCGTCACCCATGGCGCTATAAGCTCCGGTCCTGTGCTTGTGGGAACAGTGTGTCCATACCTCGCCGGTGCACCATATGACACAGCAGAGCACCCCGTACTATGAAGTCCCTGTACTCGGCACTGCTTGCAGGACGGCAGAAGCTATACAATGTCTACACTACTTCCCAGCTCCCTTCAGACCCGCCAAGCCTGGCCAAACCACCAACAGCAGCGCGGGTTACAATTCGTGTCCTACTCAGCAGACGGACACTGCCATTGGCTAACACTGTAGAGCTGAATGGGCGGCCCTGCCCTGCTGAGAGGACGACAACACTATCCAGTGCGCCTGCGCGGACAATTGGCTAGAGAGCTCGCTGGTTGGTGGTGTAGGTCGCAGCGAGTCGGAGTGCTTCGTGTGGAAGTTCAGGATGCAATTAGTAACTCTTGACTTTGAAACCGTTTGAGCAGAATTACAGGCTGAAAGCTAACTAACCAGTCTTACAGCGATATTAAAACCTAACCATTTTGCATACAGACAGGAATGCACTGTGGTCATAGATTATTAATGTCATTATACAGGATTTATATAGCACCAACAGTTTACCTTCATTTTGTAAAGCGCTGAGCAAACATTACAGATACAATACAATGTGGTACAAGAGGATTCAGATGGCCCTGCTCCTTAGAGCTTACAATCTATGGCCACTTTCAGACGGGGCGGATCCATCAGCAGCATCTGCCTGCTCAGCGGGGAATCTCG